GTGCAGATTAAAACTGCACTGATAAAAAAAAAATCACCCCAGAGTGCCAGCAGCACAATTCAACAGCAGGATGCAGTGCTGAAAACAACATGCTTGACTTTTGGTCTTTTGGTTTTATAACATATTTGTGAGGAAGAGCAATATGAAAGTCATTACTCCATCAGCTTTTTACTCAGTCCCAGATTTGTAACAGTCCTGGGTGGGGCTGCACCCCTCCAGCCACACAAAACAACCAGACAGAATTTTCCCATCAAATATATCTTTATTTTAATCATATTTTTTTCTGAGTACGGGCTATGTAAAATATATTAAAAGAAAGAAAGAAAGAAGAAATCACATTTAACAATGCAATAAATAAAGGTAAAATACAATAAAGATGTCATGTCTACACAGGACACCACATGTGCTTTCCCCATGTTTACTCAGCAACACACTTTACTCCACCCAAAACCACAGTAGTCTGTTATCTTACTCTCATTCCTTCAAACTTCTGACTGTTTCCAAGGAACACGAAAAACCGAGAAAACTGAATCTTGCTCTGAGCAGCCAATCAGAGGGCTGTAGACAACTGTTTTCTTCTAGAGCACCCACACCCCTGACATTTTTTTACTACACCCTAGGGTCAAAAATGTCAAACACCAGGACAGTAGATCCTGTGCATGCAGTCTAACATCATGACAGCATGATGCAGAAGATGATTATTGCTTTCCTTGAAAACTGAGTCAAATAAGAACTCTGGCACATTTTCCTCGTAATGTGACCTGGTGGTATCGTCCTTGCACCGACTGGTACAAGCTGACATGCTTCTTGCCAGTGCTTCATTTGTTTGTGGTAATTGGGTTAATATCTCCAAATGGTTGTTGTTACATACTGTATGTAAATCTAAATAGAGCACAAGTTAAAAGGCAGAGATGTGAGTGATTACATCAAGACAAACATATGGTTACAGCATATTATTTTGATGGGTTTCAATAAAATAAAAATCACAATACTGTCCGCTATTTTACTATGTCACCATCAAATATGACCCTGATTGATGCTGAAATCGCAACAAAGGAAATCATTATTTGCTTTGTTAATATTTTGACTGTACAACTATTGATATTAACTGGCTTGCAGGGGTAACCAGATGTTTTAAGTCATATGGTCACAAGGAAAAGTAAGTGAACTATTTGCAGTTTTTTTGTATAAATTGGTCGTGAAGTGGGATCTGATCTTCACCAAAGTCACAAATATCAACAACACAATATTTCTAAACTGATAAAACACAAACAGTCATGATCTTTCAGGTCTTTATTGAACACACCCACATACAAAGTGATGGTGGAAAAAGTAATAACAACTGTGTTTTAATAATTGGTTGAACCACCTTTGGCAGCAATAACTTCAAGTGATCGCTTAGACCTGCACAATGTTCAGGAGGACTTTTGGACGCTTCTTCAGCTCAGCCATGTTGTAAGGACGTCTGGTGTGAACGGCTTGAGGTCATTCCGCAGCATCTCTACTGGGTTGAGGTCTGGGCTCTGACTGAGACACTCCAAAAGGCAGATTCTGTGTCTCTGAAGCCATTTTTAGTAGATTTACTTCAGTGTTTAGGGACACTGCCCTGCTGCATCACCCAGCTTGTTCTGAGCTTCAGCTTGCCAACAGCCACCCTGACATTATCCCCAGCCTCACATCATGATGCTCCCTCCACTGTACTTCTCTGCTGGGATGTTGTTTTCACATTGGTACGTGGTTCTCTTTTCACACCATACATACTGCTTTGTTCTTCACAAAACAATTCTTTTTTTTTTACGTCTAACTATGACTGATGAATACCTAAAGTCTTTGAGATGACTCAGTAACTTTATATGTTTAATGGGTGTGATCAATAAAGACACAAAAAATCATGACTGTTTGTATTTTATCAGCTTAAAATATTGTGTTTGTTGATATTTGTGACTTTGGTGAAGATCAGATCACATTTCATGACCAATTTATGCCAAAAACCAGAAAACTGCAAACAGTGCCATTACTTTTTCTTGCAACTATAAATAAGAATTGTGCAATTCATATTGATAAAATAGAAAACTAAAATGAAAATCCTTTCATATACCATAAAATCAGCATGTCAGTACCAGTCATTCTGCACAGTGTTTGTTTAAAACAGACTGTTTGTCTAATTTCCGCAATGTCCATACTTCTCATACAGTATTGAAAGCTTCAGGCAGGTGCAAAATAAAGTAACCAAAAAAAAAAAAGCCTACAGTGTATGTTTTGATCAAGTACTGTTCTGAGACAGCAGGCAGTTGTGCTGTGTTTACAGTCATGTT